AGGGAAGAGACGATGACAGTGAAGAACTTCATTTTGACTGATTTTTTGTTGTGGAGTGAACGACTTGCGAACAAAAGGATTAAAAGGATTGATTATAAGGCTTAAGAGCACAGCTCAAAGATGTTCCGAGATTGAAGGAATGAAGCGAACAGCGAGCACAGCTGTGGATAACCAGGTTAGCCTCGACAAGTTGTTTCGTTTGGATAGTTGTTTGGTGGACATACCTCTGAAGAATGAATGACTGAAGAAGATGGCGAACGGGCCTTGGAAAGCTAGAGTTGTGAGTGGGATGAAGAAACAAAAGTCAGGACAGAACGGGAGATCAAGTCGCCTTATATGTGGCCAGAACCTGCCAGGGACCAGAGGCAACCATGATGGCAAAGATGGGAGCAGGAGTTGCGTGCCAAGGATTTCAGGGAGACGCCGTATGTTCGGAAAGGGGAGCAAGCACTCATCCGGAGCGTATCAGGTGTCAGGCGTCACTAGACGGAGGCGCGTGGGTAAAACACCACAGACTGGGCACGCCAGGATGTGCTGGGATGTGTTGACGATGCTGTGGCGGAACCAAAGAACCGAGAACGTCAAGGCAACCCAAAGCACGGCTGCACGAGGAGAGCAACAAAATCGCCGAGACGGGGGTGTGCCCTGCACAGAAGGGAGGGTAGTCGAGAACGCTCTGCACCTGCGGCAGAGTCATGGCACGGAAAGCTCTGTGGCCGAGGCCATCTTGGACTGCCCTGCTGCCAAGAGAAACACGAAAGACTGGTTGGTGAAGATTACTGGTCGGCACCTCATAATGGATGCATCACGGTAGCATTCCGAGATCAAGGGACTGCTGCTCCAACTCCTGAGTAGGTACAACGACAGGATACTCCCGGGTCGAGGCCATTTTGCGGGGAAGGGCAGGTACCGTCTGATGTCAAGGAGGCCGCGGGATGACGTTCAGTGGCCATTCCTGATCACCGACGACGATGAGCAGCTCGTTTCGCATTGTTTCGAGGAGCCATGTGCTGCTGGGGAAAAGAATAGAGCCAAATTCGGGAGCGGGAGTTCCAACATCACAGTGTTCCTCTTGTATGCCGTTAGCAGGGCTCGGGGATTTTACCAAACAGACGAAAACAACAAAGAACAAGTAGGGAACATAAACTGCCTAGGCCAAAACCTCATCTCGACGGCCTGGACAATCTGTGTTCACGACAGTAACGGCTCCGAATAGATGAGAGTGCCTTGATCCTGTCACAGTTGAAAACGAGGTGATAGCAAGGTAGCCAGAGAGGTTCCCATGGTCCATCACACTGGCAGGAGTACATTAGTGTTCAGCCGAAGGGAAAGGTAACGGCCCAGATGGGCCCCGGGGGGGTAAACGTCGTTCATTCGAGGTTGGTGATTAAGCTTAGTTTGACCCATCCGATTGCCGAGCGCTGCTGTGGTGTTTCAAGCTTTGCCAGCCCCATGAGTCCCCTCAATTCCGGCACTTGTTTGGCGAAAAGTGGCTAAATAGCGGGTCTCCTGGGGCGGGAGAGGCTGAAAGGTCTGAAGCCGATTAGCGGGAAGCCCCTGTCAACGTTGCAGTGCCTGGGAGGTGCCACCCACAGATCCAAGACCCTGCCCAGACGACCTAGGGGGGTGATTGGAGCTGCTGATTGGCTACTTTCCAATCTTGAAGCCGTGCACCTGCAACAACGGGACCGAGCGCTCATGCAGAGACACACAGCAGATGTCGCAGATGGACCACTTTGAAGCAGCCAAATCCATGGCATTACTCTTTTCCTCACGGGAATGGCCTCGCTTGAATTCCTTCACCTGACTTCGATGTCTTGGCCACCGGAACCGTGCGGGTTCCGGCTGAACAAGGGGCTCTTGACATGTCTGTGTCCTCGGACTCAACCAACCAGACACAGCACGTCATCGCAGCATTGCACATCGTCTTCGTTGGACTTGAGATGGCAGACAGATACGGACGGACGGCACACATATCGTCTGAAGACAACGAAGCAGTGTGGTCACCCAAAATTAGAACCACGAGGTCTTCAATCATGAGTATGTTCCAGTTCCTGTAACAGATTCATCTCAAGTTCATACTAATCATATACATGGCCCAATCTAATTACATTATCATGATCATCTGAAAAAATACCAGAAAAGACGAAGACACCATGAAGGTAGCCCCGGCACTTGCCGGATCCCAGCTATTCCTGACAGCCAGGGACGCAGCCCAGTACTGAAGGTTCCAAGCCCTTGTTCCCCCGCGTTTACGTCAGGTCCGGACTTCACTCCTTCCCAGCCCCTATCCACTCATACGTCTCTGACCCCGGTCTTTCAGCCGGAAGCTCATCGGATGTTTGGAGTAGACTCTTGGCCCTTGACCCAACAACAGCCTGTTTATTGGCCGTCACCAAGTTTTTGGGACGGCTCGAAGAGGATGAAGCTCTAACAACAAGGTTGAGCTCCTTCACAGGAACTCGTGAGCTTTCCCGTGCCGTTCATCCCTAACGGGTGAGGTCTGCCAAGTTATCCACAACATCCTCCACAGCATCATCCTCGACATCTTCCACGGCAGCAACCGGAACAGCAGTCTCCGCCGCGGCGGGAACAGCAACGGGTGCAGGAGCAGGAGCCGCTGCAGCAGCAGGGGAAATCGTAGCAAAAGCTTGAACAGCAGCTGAAGCAGCAGCAGAAGTGGCAACGGCCGCGGAGGGCGCAGAGGCAACACTGGCGGCACCAACAACAACATCTGGATTTGCCGTGGCAATGCTGAATACCGCCTCGAGATCGGCCGAGGCGACGGACTCAACAAGATCATCAACTCCAGGATCAGCCGTGGCAATCGTGAAGTCTGCCGCCGCTGTCGCAGTAGCTGTTTCCAAGACTGGGTTTTCAGCCGTCGCAATAGTGAAAGCCGCTTCTTCCTGGTTATCAAAGCCTGCCCCGATCGCGCCTGGTCCAACTCCTTGAGCACACGACTGGCGTCTGGCATTCTGGCCACGGCGGAGCGTAGTCCGCTTCATGGTCTTTCTGGCATCGGCAATTTCTCGTTTGAAGAGGCCTGGAAAAACACTGTCAGAAAAGCCCATGCATGAAAAGAAAACGGGGAAGTATACTTACCCAAGTTGAAGCCTCCAAGAACTTTCCCCTTATTGAAGAGGTTCTGAATCCCCCCCAGACCAATGAACCCAAGCTGCTGAAACTGTTGTAGCTGAGCAAGCTGAAAGAACAAATCCACATCATTGTTGAAGCCAAAGCCTAGGATATTGTTACGATTCAGCTGCCCGCCCAGGCACAGCCCTCCAAGCATAGCCAAAATGGCATCAACAATTGCATCTTGGTTCCCGAGATCGATGTTGCCCAGATTAAGACCGTTGACATTTAGGTTGTTGAGATCTAGCTGTTGGTTCAAGCTATTGATGTCAAAATCGGACGAGGTGAGGCTGCTGCTGGAGCTGTTGAAGATACCAGTGGAGTTGCTGAGAACCTGGGCTGACGCCAGGCCAACGGAAAGAAGTAAAACTGCGGTCTTCATGGTGGGTGGTTTTGATGAGCGTCTGCCTGCAAACAACAGTGGGTGTAAAATTCGAGAGAATGAAAGGAGCACAGCTTCAAATCCGTTAGTTCTACTAAATAATCCCACATTTGGCAGAAAGGAATTAAGCATACCTCTGAATTCAAAAAGTTAAAAGAGCGTAAGTGAAAAATAATCGACCAGCATAGAAGGAAAGAAACATCCCAAAGTCCAAACAGCCAGAGGACCAGACGAGATGATATACACTCGGCTTGTCACCCCATCACATCAAAATTAAGGAACATCCCGCGGGCTGGTACCACTTACCGGCTGCCGGATGCAAGTGTTTGGAAATCCTATGATAAAGATGGGACGAAGAAACAACCCACCCATTAACCATAAATCTGCCCAGCTGAGCATCCCGTCTCTCACACGGTCGATGAAACGGGGGTTGATATAAGCCGAGAACACCACTGCATAGACATCGAATCAAGGTTCTGTGTAGGTGTGCAGGTGCATTTCATGCGCGGTAGATCGCTGAGGATGAGACTTGGGGGCACGGCACGGCTGGTAAAGTCCAAGATGTGGGATAGCAAATTTGAGGGAGCCTGTTCCTGACTAAACATGAGATGGCAGAGGGATATGAGAGCTAGTTCAAAGTACTTGACCACCAATGTACAAGGCGTCTGATCACAACAACCTTGAATCACAAACCACTGAGAGATAGATCCTTGGCGACAAGAAGCAAGCTGGCAAACATTGCCAAATCTGCACTTGTAGACAACACACTTCCACTATCAAGCCCGTTCCACATCATAAGAAAACACCATCTCATGACAGGACACCTTATATACATCCTCAAACCCCCACCCTTCCATCTTCAAGGGCGTATAGTCCAGTGGTAGGATATCTCATTCGCAGTTTGCAGGCCCTCCCTCTCTGCGCGCTTAATAAATCCCTACCCCTATATAGGACGGGATTGTCACGCTGTGGTTTAGCTTGGGTAGGCTCCGTCCCTATGAGAGGGTCCCGGGTTCAAACCCCGGTACGTCCATTTTTGGTGCTTTCAATTCTTTTTGCCTCGTCTGCTGCCCTTACACCTCGATCTCAAGCTTTCAGTCGTCACCAGCTTGGGGAGAGATAGTTAGGTGTCGGAATCTCAACAACATCGCCTCTTTGCGTTGACAAATGCTCTCAAGTAAAGGAGACATCCTCAAAATACCATCGAGCAAGATACCCAAGAAACTATCACGACTTAAACTCCCTAGATACTGAAAAGAAAAAAAGAATAGATACAAACAACTTCTTATCACAATGACAAGATGAGACAAGCACACGACCAGAACAACGACGACAACGGCAGCGGAAACCCGCACGACAAACATAACCCGCTTGCTCCCCTACTGTCAGCTGTCAAACAGGAGCAACCCAGACCTCCGTGCTCTTCGACACCCAAACATATAATCCCCAGAACTAGAGGGAGTGTTAACAACAAAAGCCAGGGCGTATGGTCTAGTGGTACGACGTCTCATTTGCAAGGGTATTTTCCGTTTGCTCCTCAAGCTTCTATGAAAGGGGTCCGAATGTGACACACTTTGCTTACCTGTGAAGGTCCCGGGTTCGAACCCCGGTGCGTCCATCTTTCGTCTCTTTTTCTCTTTTGTTTTGTTTTTCTGTCATAGCTCTCGATGTTATCTGGGCAGGTAGATAGGATATGTTAGACACAGTCTAATTTTACATCAACACCCACCACCATTAAGAAAAATGAATAACCATCACGGGGCATAAATTTGATGAGAAAGACAAAAGTAGTTCTCTCTCTCTCGACAGGAATATAGAATATCACAACAACCAACTGCCTTGTCATGTGGCCTTGCCTCTGTCTAAGGCTTCTGAGAACAAGACGATTCTATTCGACGTGCAAGGAATCAACACGTGTTGGCCACAGCAAACACTGATTTACCAGCAGGTATTTACACAAGATACTCAAGGTCTCCAAGCATCATCTGTCTTGAAACATATCTTCATTACCATTACTTATATAGCAAATCTATCTTGTTCTCATTTCCCTCTCCCCCCAATCCCACCTTTCCCACATCCGCCATCCTCCCATTTCATCCAACCCAGAGAAAACAAACCTCTACAGCGTATTAAATCTAATAATTACCACCCCCTCCCCACCCCCCCTTCTTCTTCTTTCTTCTTGTTGTCTCAAGCTCTCTACCACAACTCCGTCCCAAAAACCGGCAAAAACACCACACAAGCCTTCCACAAAATCATCACCGCCTGCACCACCGCCACCGGCAACATCAACACTCCAAATGCATTATTCCCACAAACATCAACACTATTCATCCAAATCGCCAAAAACGCCACCGTAAAAAAATGCCTCGCCAGCACCATCGGCCGGTGCATCATCCCCCCCATCAGCGCCACCGGCTCATCCGTCCTCCCCATCTGGAAATACCTAAAACACCCCCTCTGCAGCGCTCTCAGCTGCCAATCATCCGCCGCAAACAAGCTGTACAGCGCCTGCGCCAAAACATTGATAATCGACGTCAGGGATTTCCTCCTGTAGTGAAACGTAGACATGGCACTGCTCACAGCAGCGTGATCACCAAGATTTGGGACCCTGTCCGGGCGGAGGAGATCCGTCAAAACGACCACGTCGTTAAACGCGACAGTCATGCCTCCTCCCGTGAGAGGGTGGCGCATGTTGTGCGCGTCGCCCAGCACCAAAACCCCAGGATGTGTGGTTTGTTTTGTTGGTGGGAGCCAGCTGTTGGGCATGCTCTTTGGGATTTTACCATCGGCAAGGGCCTTGACAACGGAGGGTTGGACTGATTTGGGTAGGGCGGGGAGGACGACATTTTGGATGTAGCCTCTAACACCGCCATTTTGCGGGGAGGCAGCGGGACAGTCGAGGGGGACGTCGATTAATGCTCTTGTTTCGTGAGTGCCGATTTGGTAGAGGAGAACAACACTGGCATCGCCAATGCAGACATGCCCGTAGTACTGAGGGGGAAAGTCGCAATCGATCAACTCCAGCGCATAAAACTTGGAGCGAACAACCGGTGTTTTGTTCAAGAGCGGTTGCCTGAATTTGCTCGCGTAGCCATCAGCAATGATAGTAAGCGCACCAAAAAAGGCGTCCTCCTTCCTGGTGTTCTTCTCCTTGTCTGTCGTCGTCCTGGTCTTCACCCCCAATATTTCATTGCTGTTATGCTCCCCCCGAATCAATTCCGTGACCTCCGTCTCGAAAACCGAAATACTCGGGTGTTCATGACACGCCTTCCTCAGCTGCATGATAAACCTCCCATGGTGAAACGCTCTCCCCTCGGGACCTTTTTTATCTTTCTTCTCGCCTTTTGTCACAATGATATTCCCCTCTTGTGAAACGGTGGGGTAGGGAATCGCAACGTCGTCACCTCGGTAGAGGACGTGGTACCCATAACACGGGATCGCGTCGATGCCCTCTAGGCATTTTCCCAAACCGAGTTTCTTGAGAGCGGCTACACCGCCTGGTTGGAGGAGCTCGCCTACGATTCTGTCGGGTTCGTGGAGCCAGCGCTCGAGGAGGATGACGCTCCGGCCTTGGTTGGCGAGGGCGTACGCGGCGGCGCAGCCAAAGACGCCGGCGCCGACAATGACGACGTCTGCTTCGTGGTGTTGCTCCCGGCGTTCGCGCTCGAGCTCGAGGGCTGATTGGGTTTTTGTCGCCATGCTGGGGTTGTGTTGTGTTTGTGTATGTGGTGTGTTGAAAACGAAGAAGCAACTTCAAGGGGAGGAAAAAGATCAGACGAACGGTGAGGTCACCGTATTATCGATTTTCGGCGAGTCGTCGCGGGAGCGGGAGCGGGAGCAATTGACCTTGGCGATTGAGTTTGGAGAGCCAGAAAAGAAACAGAAACGAAGAACACCGGCACCTTTTAGACCGCCTCTAAATTCGCCAATCGTGATTCGTCAGGGTCGGACTTATTTTCTTCACCACCTTTTCAGGAGCAGTAGAACTGAACAGAACAAAAAAAAAAGTGGTGTGTGTTCTGGCTCTCGAAATTGTTCGCAACCGATCTCTCGAACAAATCGTCCCATGACGGGAGGCACCGCTTGTCTCCCCCGGTCCCCGCTGGCCAATCACCACTCGAGCGCAGGGGCCCCCTTTCCCTTTCGCGTCCTTGCCCCTGACAGCGGCGACCGCTAGAATTTCACATGTCAGTCGATGGCCAAGAAACCACTATTTTTTCAACGATCAGACACCACATTCCATTGCGTGGCCTGTTTTGACAGAACATGACCATGAAAAATGTTAGATTGTTTCCCTTTTGCCATCCGCCCTCCAATAATGCAATATGCTTGTTATGTATATATATGTATGTACAACAGTGTATGTATGTATTCGTAGCTGTGAAAACACCCTGAGAACCTTGAAGGACAGCCCGCCAGCGCCGCCCTATGCCTTGGTCAAAACCAGCTGTGAACCATCCTCAGACCCAATCCCATTCTTATCATCCAAGAAACCTCCACCTCTCCCATCATTGGTATATGTGTTATTCAACCAAGAAACCTCCTCAAAGTCAACCGGCGGGTATCCATCAGCAAGCGCAGAGTCCCTCATAACCCGCAGCGCATCCGCCTCTAACCTCTTGGCATCCACCCTCAAGGTCTTTCTTGCCTGCACAATAGCTTGAATTGCTTTTTCCAGCACTTCATATGCCTGCTCCTGTCTTGACTTTGCGGTTGTGGACTCCGGGTTGGGCTCGAATCGCTTGACATAGGTAAATGCCATCTTCAGCATGTTGAGACAGGCCGTGTCTTCCTTGTAGCTGCTGCTCAGTGCCCTTCCAATTGCGAGTTTAAGTCTAGCCACGTCCAACAACCGGGTCGAGGCCGTGAGGATGATGCTAAAGTTGGCGAGGTTGTAGCATGGCGCCTCGCCTCGGGCTTTGGCTGCGTGTGCTGCGTACACGATCGCCCCAGAGTAGAAGCGCATGGTTAGGCAAATTCTTGCTGCTTGATGTAGAGCTGTGTCTGTTGGCGTGATTCCCAGCTCTTCCATGCCTTTAAGGTTGTCTTGGATAACCATCATCATACGGTTTGGGTGCCACGCTTTCCGCTCGCTCTTCATGCTTGTGAAAAGGCTGCGTATTCTAGCGGCGACAATGTAATTGATGACCCCCTCCGTCTCATGCCCATTTTCTTGGGCATCGCGCACGAGTTCATACGCGTCTTGATAATTGTGTGGTTCAGCTTGCAGTTGTGCCTGGACTGCCAGCCGTAATGTCCCTTGAGAAACCTCCATACCCTCGTTTCGGCAAACCTGGTAAATGCGCAGCGCCACCCTCGGGTTGCCATACGTCAAATGCTCCTTCATGACCAACGCAACCTCTCTGGCATCTGCACATCTACCCTTATGTGGCAGTATATTTCTCTGAACCCTCAGCGACAGCAACCTCCCCCTCGCCGCCCTCCCCCCACCCCCATCCGCCAGCGCAGCCCGCACCATAACCGTCTCCGTATACCTATCCGAGAACTTCGGACTCAGCAACCTCAACTTCCTATACAGCGTCCTCAAGTCCCGGAAAGGCATCTTCCACTCCCTCCTCAGCACCGTCAAAATAACGTTCGAAAACGCCGCATCAACCTCAAAACCCAGAGTACTGCAGTACTCCAGCCATTGAACGATCTTATCCACATCCCTCAGCGCCGCATACCTCGTCCCCATCAGCGTAAACACATAATTATTCAACGGCACCTTCATCTCCTCCACATACCCCTTCAAAAAAGCATCCGTCTCCTCCACCGAATGCCCATCCGCATACGCCTTGAGAACAGGGACAAACACCTGGCTGTAATTCTTTTGACCTTCTGGATCCTCCGAGACCCTCATCCGCTCAAACAGCGCCTTGACAGCATCCCAATCGCCAGCTGCGGCATAATGCCGGGCAAAAACACCCAGCGTCCGCACATCCTCAAAGACGACAAACCCATCAGCAGCCGACTTTTGGAAGTACCACTCAGCAATCGCTTCCTGCCCAGCCTCAAGCGAGATCTCGACCATGACACGATACAGCGCATCAGGGTACAGCACCACCTCCTTGATATCCACCTCCGTAAATGAATCAAACACCTTTTGCGTTGCTGTAAAATCTTTCTTCTTCCTCCAGTGCGCCACCAACAGCCTAGTCGCCAGCTCAGAGGGCATCTTGAAATTAGTGTCCTGATATAGTCTCCTCAGAACACGCAAGACGTCATCTGGTCGGTGATTGTGCGCCTTCTCGACACAATCAACCGCCAGTCTGGCGATGTCATAAAGCGACACCGAGTCCGGACTGCAGTTGGCGTAGTTGAACCGGAAGGTCTGGATGGCCATCTTGTAGCTGTGTTGCTCGACAAGCTTGGTCAGATACCAATGCGTGAATTCTGGAGTGGTGTCCCCTGTGCGGAGGGCATAGCTGTGGCATCGTCTGTAGATCTCTCGCCCGATGATGAGGTGGTCAGCTGCGAATCGAGCCTCCAGCAGCTTGCGCCCGGTTTCGTGCAGGTCAGGATGCGGTTCCGACCGTTCCGCGATTTTTGGGCGGTAGATCACTGCGGCTAGGTCGAGTATTCGGAGAAGCGCGTCTCGGTTAGATTTGACGG